ATCGAATCTTTTTCACTTCATCATTTGCCATCACTGTGACATTTTCTTTCCATTTCATTTCACTCCCCCAGATAACTACCGCTATGTCATTGAAACAATGGGAGCCCGCTGGTCGGTGATTCCCCTTTGGAAGGGCGATCTTGCGGTTGAAGCCTTTCTTGTACTTAGGTAACCAGTCATCTATCAGTAATAACATGTGGTCCCAGTTCTAATTGTGTCCGTTATTTGGTGTAATGTTTTAAGTAGTAAATATATGTATTTAGGGTTTTGTAGGTTTAGAGTATAGTTGATTGCTCATATCTCATCTTTCAATTGAGTGAAATATTTATTATTGAGACATTTTTGCATTTAAACATTATTCATCTTATAACCAAATTATTCTGGCCAACATTTTTTTGTTATTTTCAACGAAAACATTACTTTTTATTTGGGTTTTAGGAACAATATGATCATTTATTGGCGGTCATGTTTATGTACCCTCTTTCTCAAGTCTGTGACTTTGCCGAAAGTACTTGTATAGTTCTTGTCTTATACACATTAATTGTCAGTTTGATGAATCGTGGAGAAGATACACTGTTACTCATGATCAGTGTATTGAAAATAATAAAATAAAACGTGTATGCTAGGCGTATCTTTCATTTTCTATATTTTCTCGATCGTGTCGAATGGACACTCTGTCCACTCAGAATGTGAATTCAAACGAAGTAAGTTATGTGTAGTCGGTGCTTTAAGTTCCTGAGTCGTAATCTTTCACAAATCTCTTCGCAGTGGATTGTTGGTTAGCTACCTGACGCTAAAACAGTTCGATCGGTGCGGCGGCCCCAGACATCATAACTGGTTCTTGTTCTACTTTCATCGATTCTGGAGACTGACACCAGTATACATGTTTGTGTTGATGATGTACACCACTTTGGTTTTATACGTGTCAGACGGACCGCTATGGTGGCAATGGTACGGAGTGCAAGAAGAATGTCGAGCTGACTGGTGGCAACATCTACTATATATCAACAACTTGATTCCATTTCCTGGTGACACTGGAGGGGTGCGTAACACATGTACAGTGTAGACACTAGCAAACAAATACATCAACATAATACAAACACAAAATCCATCTCAAAACTAAGCGAACAGACAAATAATTCGCACTGTTTGACTACTTACTCTCCTCTCACAGTTTTTAATCTAATTGTTGCACGTCTTATTTTACAAACAGTGTTTCGGGTGGACATGGTACTTGGCCGTGGATATGCAGTTGTACGTTCTTAGTCCAATATTCATCATAATGTTTTACAAGTAAGTTGAATGTTAAATCTACAGACATAAAGTATTTATAAAAAGTGATTCATTTTCAAAGTACAATAATATTTTATACAACGTGTACTTTAATAATGCAATTAACTCGCATGAGTTGTCAATGTCTATGATTCTCGAAAACAATTTTCAGGGGTTCTTTTTCACTTTGTATACATTCATGCTTGGTGTCGAAATGAGCTCTCGCATGGTGAATATTAAATCGTATATATGATTGACATATCCATATACAACATACTGAGTAATATCTATACTATATAACAGACGTCGTACGCTCTTCCGATGTATAATCTTTGAGAATAGCCCCCCCCCATGTACTCAAAAAAGTTCTTGCTCCATTCTGTCACAGTAATAGTACAGTTATCGATGTATAGCTCAAGTCAGTTAACCCGACAATATTATTAATATTCGTTTTTTTATTGCTATTGCAGGTCACGTAATGGTGGTGTATGTTTGACTACGTCAGCAATTTGCGTTTGTTTGGCAATATCTGCATATTTTGCGACTGTGCAGGGAATGACGTTTGGCGCCGATACAAAGTAAATACTGTAGTTTCTGACCAACCGACATCATGTGTTCACGGTTTGCGTTACTTGAAGGGCGGTGGTCGTCGCGCCACGCATGCGCGAGATATGGGTCTCATAAAACAAAAATGGCGATTTTCACTGTTGTGCACACCATACTGAGATGTTATCAAGCTTTAATTAGGTATTTTGATGGTGTTCAGAAGGTATAGAAGGAGTCGCCGGCGGTGATTAGAGCAAGTGGCACCCAACTCGTACAAAATTCGTACAAGTGATTCATTAGAAAAGCACGAATGTCGCACATGCGCGGCGCGACGACTACTGCCCTTTACTAGTAACTGGTATAAGTGTGTAGTATACTACAAATAGTTCATAATTCATACATTTTGATTTTAAGTGTATCATTTCAAAATACAATTTCCGGGAAACTATGCGAGATATTCGTGTAAAATGAACCCATTGTCCATGTCTCCTTTCAGAATACCCACCTGCCCGGCATAGATAAACTAGATGTAGAAACACTATTGTACGTGTTTTATTCACAGAAAATACAGGAAACCCGAATACGACGAAGGTGCCTGGCTGTACACTAAACCTTGGTATCGCTTACCAAACTATCTTGTTGGTATCGTCTTGGGATATATATTCTTCAAACTGAATGGAGAAAAGGTCAAGATAAATAAGGTCAGTTTGCTTAAACTAAAATGCGCATTTGTTTATTATAAGCATTAAGAAGTTGTATATACATGCAGACGTCTTTTAAGAATACAGTTTGTATTTGTTTGAACAATATGACATAGGAGACAACATGGTAATCTCCCTTGAGATTCTCATCATACTAATACTAATCCATTATTCCCAATCATAATTTAAAAACACGAAACGAAACAATTCAGTAGTTTTAACCATTTCCGTTTGATTAGTTCTTCGGTAAGATCGCATCTCAAGTTTTCTTTCTCGAAAAAAGGGACACAGTCCAAACGCGCTTACGCGATGAAAATGAATAAATACTGGTACAAAGATATATAAATTATAATTCTCTGTGATGACTTGAAAGCGTGGTATGTACGGAGTTTGGCAAGTCACTGATACTTCTACTCGCATTTAAAAAAATGTACAAAACTGATTCGAACCACCAGACCGTACTACTATATACCAATATCGTAACCATAAAATCAAACAATCTAATTAGATTAATATGCGAGTGTCACCTGCCCAATTTTCTTATTATTATAACTTTAGTTTAATTCAAACATTGCCTTTAGGGCGGAGGGCTGCTTGGTTTATCTTTGTGGAATTCAAAAAGTATAGGGCGGGAATGATTCAAAGGTATTTATACCGGGGCATTACTTCAATTGGTTCATTTTCATAAACCCGTTTTTGCATTGAACTATTGCCGGCATTCCAAATGTGTAAAAACAGGTTTCGAGTTTATTGACTTGACTTCAGACTCCCTCACACCCCTTTCTATATATCTAAGAATATATAAGAATAGATCATTAACAACTAAAGATAATGCTTATATTGTGAACCTTAACTGTGCTGTGCTGTAGCAATGCTTGAAAATAAAAATAAAAATGTCAGTAAATAACTTACTTGCTATAGAAAAGGGAGAAATTCCCCAGTAATTATTCCCATCATCATCATCAATTATTTTTACGATTGTTTTTTGCGACACAGAAAGAAATTTACAGTAGACAATAATTTATAATGTAAAATCATGTATTCACATTGAACTTGGCAAAACTCGATGACAATACCTTCCGGGTCAGTTGCTTTTCTATCTGTCATTAAGTTCGCATCAGACGTTCTGTAAGAAGTTGTTCGCAATACGTGTTACGCGAATGTGCCTCGAAATAACAGTGAAGGTTCTTGTATATGTGTACAGTAAACTTGATTAGTGATAGATAAATCTTTTTGGAAAGTTTATGTGATATAACATATTACAAGAAAAAAATATATATGGTCTTTATTTACAAATTAAAGGCCATCGGCCCATAACAGTATTTACACGTACAAGAAGAATATTCGAAAAATAAAAATACTTTGCAGAATATTTGAATAAAATCACATATCTCATTCCTAAGTTTCAATGCATGAAAGATGTATGCAGCCAGTGGTTGTAAAATGTCAGATCTATAAATTTATCAAAAGACGGGGTATTATAGAATGTATTGGGTAAGTACGAGGTTCGCAATTCATGGTAATATGGGCAAACACGGAGAAAGTGAAACTCATTTTCAATTTCATCTTTGTCACAAAGAGCGCAAATACGTTCGTCTCTCTCAATTACACCACGATCTCTTTCAATGCGAAGGTAGTGAGAAGAACATCGAAACTGTGCAAGAGCTGCTCTATGGGAATAAATTCCAACAGATTTTAAGTATTTTTCCGGCTGCAATGTAACCTTAAATTCCCGATATGTAACCAGTTTGTCTAAGGAACAAATATCAGTAAGCCACTCAAAATGTAGGCATTTCTTAAAACGATGAAAATACGCTTACAAATTCCTGAATATTGCCAACTTTCTGCGAATCCAAACATGTTCTAATTTACACAAAAACAATAGTTTCCGTATGTCTGCCACCCAGGTAGGTTTCGCCCCCGATTTGTCTATGTTATATAACATGTTGTAGCATTTACGTGGATATCTGTTACTTGGCATATTGATGATTTTAGCCCAATATTTTATGCATCGTTTTGCGGTGTAAAAGAAAATAGGATATCTTCCACACTCGCCCAGTACACAATTGTCAGGTGATCGTGTGGAAACACCAAGGAAATATCTGCAAGCAAGGTATTGAATACGTTCCAGACACTCATGATATTTTTTAAATCCCCAGATCTCCGAACCATAGGTTAAAATAGGTAAAATCATGGAATAAATCATAATTTAAAGGGACAATTTTTTTAGTATGTTTCATAATAGCCATAAATGTTTTTTTAGCTTGTTGTGCTAAAGACTTCGTTGCAGGTGTCCACTGTAACCGACATGATAACAAAATTCCCAAATATTTGTAATGTGAGACTACCCCCAGCTGTGTGTTTTTAAAATACCACTTTGAAAACGATTACTTTTGTTTTGTCCAAGTTCACTGTCATTTTCCATTTATCACAATACCCCTCAAGCTTACGAATTAATCTTTGTAGGCCAATGACAGTGTCCGAAAACA